CAAACGTAGTACATAGGGCGACATCTAGATGTCATCTACCTCGCCCTGTTCACTATGCTTTTTTATAGGAGCTTTTCAAAGCTTTGCTTTGGTGTCGGAACACAACATTGAAAGTTTCTGGATCCTCAACATTGAAAGTTTCTGGAACACAACATTGCAAGTTGATAAAAGCGTTGTAATAATAAGGAAAATCTTGTTTTAACGACAACACCTTGCAAACCATTTGATATTATTGTAATCGATATATTAGGACCTCTACCTGAGTCAAATAATGGTAATAGGTTCGCAATTACCATTATATGCGATTTAACTTAGCTGTGCCAGATAAAAGCGTTAAAACGATTGCATCTGCCATTTTTGAAAGATTTGTTTTAACTTACGGTGTAATGAATTCCGTTAAATCTGATTTAGGCACTGAATTCAAAAATGAAATTTTTTCCGAATCAACTAACTGTTAAAGGTTGAACACGATTTTCCAACCCCACACCATCATGAAACTGTGGGTACTATCGAACGTAACCACAGAGTCTTTAATGAATCTTCTCATTTTCGTTGTTAGTGTTTCCGACAGGGTAGGAGTGTGATGTAATGTGGAACGATTTTCCGCCATCCCTTGTCAAATTTGGTTTGGAGACAAACCGGTTTCGGCGTTGTGCCATCTTCAGTGTCATTTTTCGTTCTGAATAGTTTCTGTTTGTCTATCACTATTTATAGCCGTGTTAAATCGTCGTTGGTTCATAGTTAGGTACATCTCAGCGGATTATATTCTTTCGTTCAACCAGTAGTTTCAGTTCTGTGTGAACATCCTCAGGTAGAAATTAGCTTTTCACCTCTTTTTTTATTAATTGTTGCATGGATTCGCAGGTAGGTAAAAATCAGTTATTTTCTTTCTCTTTGTTTCTGTAGTTTGGACCTGCATTTCATTGTTTATGGTAGTTGCAGGGTTTCTGTTTGTTTTGCGTATAGTAGCCTGAGTGGTTCGAATAATATATCAGATGCGGTGTTTATTTGCTCATTTATTATTATTCCGACGAACGTCTTTTGTTTGTATATATCCATATTCTCTAATACGTTTAGGCGTTGTCCTTTGTGTTGTACATGGAGAACTTTGGCTGTCTTTCCTATTTTCATTGGCGTACAATGGTTTTCTGCCATATGGTTTGCGAAGTTCGATTCCGGGGTGGTAGAAGGTTTCAGCATTTTTTTGTTGTAGTCCCTTATATGTTCACGATATCTTGTTTTTATCTTGCGCCTTGTTTGTCCTATGTAACTATGTTGACATTCGCAAGTCAACTTATATACACCTTGCTTGTCTAGTGGGTCTTCCTCGTTTGCACTATTTTTTAGTTCTAAATGCTGTATCAATGTTATACTTTTGGAATACCTTAGCCAATTTATATGACGTTTTGCCCGTATAAGTCAAGACTGCCCAAGCCTTTTCATTATTTTCCTTCTTATTTGATTTCTTCGTTTTTGTTTCTCCTCTTATCTTGTTTACTAGGCCCTTTCTGTATCCGTTAT